GATATGAATGCACATCAGGCAGCAGATGAGTCAGATGTTCTGAAGAGGTCCAATCAAGGACGCCCCACAACACAAGAGCACTGCATGCATAATGTCTCGCACAACTGACTTCGGCTACAGCCTGAAGTTTCTTTTCAGTGCCTCATCCTATTCCACGGTGGTTATGCACCAAAGCACTGAGAAGCAAATAACAAATAGACCTGCAGTCACATAATTCAAAATGTTTAAACACATGAGATTCCAGGAACCTGATGTCCACACACTCTTTTAAAGCTGCCAGGAAGACATACTCAAATTAGCAGATAATTATCTAAAACTCAGGCTTTTGTTCTTCCATTGTTTCAGTTGAAAGAAAAAAAAAGTGCTTATATTTCTCAAGGTCAATGCTTCCAAATGAGTTTGTCAGATGAAGTCAAACTCACAATGGAATAGGTCACTTGCAACACTTCAAAAATCAGGTTTTGGAGTGGTGGACAGACGCAGATGTTACATCAATTTCAGCACAAAAGAAGAAGAATCCCTGGTCTTTGGTGGAGAAAGCAGGTAAGCCATCAGCATGGAGACAAGGAGCAGCACAGGAGGTTAAATCTACTGTGCTGTCCTTGAGGTAAACTAGTGTGCCTTTTATGCTGTCCTCTAATCCTTAGATTAGTTTCTCCATTTTGGTTTTAACAATATTAACTGAAGTGCAGAGGCAATCAGCAGACCACAACTTTGCCAAAAAATTCAGTTGAATCATTAAAAGTGATTTATAAAAATAGACCGTGGATAAAAATCACTAGTTGAAATCCTCAACTGTTAAACTGGCTCTGCATTAAACATGCAAATTGAAATTGTTAATTCAAGGTAAACATGGAAAAGAACTCATCTTTTCTGTATTCCTTTTAATTCAGCTGTCAAATCAAACCTCATCTCCATATGACAGCAAATGGAAAAAGAGATAGCTTGTGTGTAAATGAAAACCAGCTCACACTCTACATAGCCTACATACTGCAATTTAATGCATTTTTAAGTATAAATTCTAGCTCTTTTATTTTTTATTTATTATTTTGTTATCTTGAAGTGTAGCAATTTAGGTTCTTATTATTGGCCTTCTCCTTTTCTCATCAACACAGCTCCTCTTAGGGTACAAATGATGCTAGCTCTTGATCACACACTTCTTAAATCATCTTCATGCTGTTAGCTCTGCAAAGAATGATGCCTGCTCCAGAACACTGCCATTGCTAATCACTCAAAATCAGGTCTCTCACAGGTCTATGAGAAGGAAAAGTGCTGAGGGCAGAAGAATAAAGATCAGATTGTTTTTCTCTTCCTTTTCAAGGAATATATCTGAATGTATCCCTTTCCTTCACCTTCATGGATCACTCATCCTGCCAAGCATAAGTTCCCCTGTGAAACAGCTATGGCATCCTTGGCTTTGTATTGTACGAGAAACAACAGAACTACCTACTTGAGGTATTGGCCAATGCACAAATGAAAAACAGTGAGAAACGGTGGTTCAACAATCGTGTTCTCTACAGATATCTAGTGACAAAAGCAGGGACACCCATCTCAAAATGAGTAAGAAAGCTGTTTGAGACTCAGTGGAGTCAACACTGACTAAAGAAATTATTCATTACTGCAGCATTCTGGGCTCTGCTGCTTCACTTCACAGCTGGGAACGCACGCATTCACGTAACCCTGATAATGGGAAAGGGCAGAGGCTGACTCTTCTAACCAAAGTCTCACCGCAGGACACTACCAGGAGGAGGAGATGCAGTAAATACATCGCAGCTGAAGCTCTCAACCTGTACTTTACCCCTTGCATTTTGACTGCCAGCTACCCCACAGAGAGGTAGATCCCTTTTGACTGGTTATCTGCCCAGATGGGACCTGCACATTGCTTGCCAACAGGACAATTCCCATATGCTGCCTCTCAGCCACTAAAACGCAGGTAAAATCATTTGTAGGCAGTACAGGTTGCACGTTGCGTCAGGCTACAGCAAACAACTTGAGCAAAGTTTTCTTTCTGATCATCTTTATGCTTGAGGACAAGTCATTTTGTATCAAATGAGCCATATGAAAAGAAAGCCGCCAATATCACTCAAGGATGTTACAAGGTAGAGAAATATTCTAGAAGCTGCAGCACTATTATTTATCTGCTAGAGAAAGGCCATTGGATAAACTGTTACAGAGGGCTTCAGACAAAAGTAGCGCTGCAATTGGGCAGGGTCCCAGCTGATCTGCTAGGCTGTATTGCAGGTGCAACTGTCTCCTGCACACATTGATATCTGAAAGAACTTGGCATCTTCTGCTAATAGTAACTCTGATTCCACCAAGGAAAAAATCAGTTTCTGAACGCAAAAGCTTGTTAAGAAATTTGAAATAATTGAATCATATTAACTTCTGAGCTCGGAGGAAAAGCAGCGAGGGCTTGTGCTGCAGCATTTGAAAAGGTTCTATTAGGAAATTGTTCTGATTATTTTAATGAGCCCAATAAATTAAAAAAAAAACCAACAAACCCACCCTGGGAAAAAAATTGTTATTTTCTTCTTTACCTGAGATGCTCCATTTAGGCAAGGCACTGAAACAGGAATGTTACACAACAGCTCCAAGCGTTGTTCAGATGCTATGCATGCCTCCTGCCCATCGGGAACCACCGTGTGCCTTCCAAGTTGCCCATAGTCCATTCTGCCCCAGGTGAATACCTTGCCAGTTTCTAAACACAAAACACATTTCAAGATTACTTATTTACTAGGTTCCTGGAACATATGGATACCAATTCAAAACCAGAACATTTCTTAACGCATCTTGTCTGAAGCTTCAAAAACCTGGTGAAAACTTACTTCTGAGAGAAAAAGAAGAAAATATTAAAACTAGCTAAAGACATTATGATGTACTTCTATGCAGTTAATCAAACTTTATTTACTTGTTTTCCAGCAGAATAACATCTGTAGGGCAGCCTGGGCTATAAATGAAACCATATCAGTAAAGCTGCATAACCTGGGCATTCTGCATACAATATATACACTTTAATTACACAAATGACATATTTTTAGCTTAACAGAAGCACACACAAAACAGCTTATTCTGAAACATAAAAAAATTCTTCTCTATTCCCCGTCTTTGCCATAGAGACATCCATTGCACGTCCTGTATTTAACATACAGTATACATTTTTCCTGACAGAAGTTACCTTCTGTCACAGCTTCTGTTAGCAGAGCAACAGCCCTCAGGACAGCAACTGGTTAGTCAGGAACACCACCACAGCTGTCATTAAGCATTGGAAATGCACCAGTTTGTTTTCACAGGAATTCACGTTCACGAAGGAAAGATAACTTTAAATGAAATCAGCACTATATGGATCACCCACACACTATACCAGGTTCACTGCTGTGGGACTGACACCGAAAAGTCCATTCTCCAGTATGGATAATATCCATAAAGCAGTTCCTTTTACCTTTGGTTCTCAATATTAAAAAACAAAACAAAACACAACAACAAACCAAACACACATCGAAAAAAACCACCAAAACCAAAACACAATTATACTAAGTGATAGCTTTATTTTCTTAATGACATAACTAGATCTCTGCAAGTAACTCATGAAAAGCTGTCCCTTCTGGACTTCCAATTAAAAAGAAAAATTATATATGCACAGCATAAACAATAAAAGCAGCAACCCACATTCCAGCCCAGAAGGAAGACTGCAACAACCTTGAGTTATGTACACACTTTAGCCAAGCCTCGAACTCCTCTCCAGAACTGAACTCAAGTCATAAGCCGAATGATGTGGATTTGAAGAAAACATGATCAACTCAAGTAGGTCAGCTTCAACACACACACTTCTCCCCTTGTCAGTCAGTACAGACATCCCACAGAGGGATCAGGAGCAGGGGGTACTGGTCACACCGCCCTAAGGTGACAATTGCGGGTTTTCTTAATGCACGCCATAACACAAACCTTCAGAAACCTGAACACCTCCCTTTTCTTTTGGGTGCTGTTAAACTGTCTTGAAGGGGACACATGTGGGCACTGCTAGTTTGTGGAGTTTAACCTGATAATGTATCTCGTAAATAAACTGGAAACCTCTAACTTCGTATAATTAAGCAGACAAGAAGCACATATGTTTTCCTTGGAAGTCTGCTAGCAGGGTTATCTTTTACTCTAATCTTTGCAACAGTTTTTCAGATGTGTCCTCTCACCTCACTGATAATACTTCCTCTGAAATAATTAAGTGATAAAATTAGTTGTCCTTTTCTCCCAAGGGCACAAATATTTTATTCCTTTGGAGCTTCCTAGCAGTTAAGGGAAAAATTGAAACCAGTCACATACTACTTTTGATCCAAGTGAGGTCTTCCAACATGGTAGCTTCATTTTTTTAGGTTAAAGCATTAAAACAAGTTTCATTAAGAAAACTCCCAGTATACCTTACAGAGATTAGGAAAACAATTTGCTGTTTAAAAAACATGCGTGCTCTGGAGGTAATATCTTTACTTTGCAATTTGTATAGATCTCTGCTAAAAACGTCTGCAGCTACAAAAATGTTGCAAGAAGTCTCCTACATCAGTATGTTACATAGCAAATTTAAACGTGGACTAAGCTTCAGGCTTTTACATCAGACCAGATTACTGTACCTATCTAGAACCCTATCAGTGGACTGGAAAAGAACAGGCAGGCTGCTCTATTTTGTATAAACTACAGAAACTGAAGCTGAGTTTTATGAAATTTAAAGCCAGAAAGAATTTCTGTAACATCTAGTTAGATCATAAATACACCACAGGCTCTCAAGCGCTACCCAGACATTGCTGTATTGATCCCAAGGACCATAGTTTAACTAAAGCATTTCAACTCTCAGAAGCCGAAAGCATCGAGTGCCACAGGCAAAAACAGCAGCAACCTGCAAGACCTCTGGAAAGGCAAGCAGTGTATTTGATAATACAGACCCAGATCCTCATATGCACTCTATAGCACTATCCTTCCTGTACACAGGGACAGCAGAGTTTCCTCTCAAGTCTTGACTTTAAGGATAAAAAAAATTCTTTTCCCAACCAAATCTGGTGCTCTGTGTGGACACAGACATGAACAAGAAACGCCAGCCACTCATATGACAAAAATGATCCTTTGCAGCATCACGAGGGTACCGCTCCACCTTGTCTCAAAGTCTCGTCTGCAACTGGTGCCTGGATTCAGATGAAGGCAGTCTAAAATCCCAACACACCCCTGACGAGTTACTCACTGAGAAAATAATTTTCTCACCCTGCCAGTGACCAGCAGAAACCAGGGAGCAGCTGACAATCACCATCTTGCTGAGGAGCAGCTAGAGCAAGTTCTGTGCAAAGCAAGTAATTCTGTTCCCCTCTGCCAAGGGCCTCTGAAAGGTGGAGAAAAGTGCAGTGGTCTACAGCTTTCCCAGCTGCAAGATCAGAGCAAAACACCACAACCATCTACTCTGAAGTCAAACTAAACTGCATACGTAATCTCCCCTTATGAATTAAGAGCTAGCCAGTCCATCACCTGCCCCAAGCTGCTGCCTCCATGTTTAACTGTTTTTACTTTTCAGAAACCATTCCTCTTTTCAACAGGGTTAATTTGTCTAACTATAGTTGCCATCAGCTGCTTATTGTGTCTTTCTCAATGACTGCAAAAGCCCCTCTCTCCACTATTTAGTATCTTTTCCACATGCCAGGATTTATAGAAGTTTGGCCTTTTTTTCTCCTACACTGTGGGTATTGGTCTCCTTAAGGTTTCCTCTGCAATTCTGTTATTGGATCAATTTTTGAGACCCTATGTTGAAATTTCAACACTGACACCAAGTTGAAATGGAAGTAATAGAACTAGAAACAGAGGTTTTATTCAGCCTTACAAAGGCTTTGAAGTATGTTCATCTTTATTGTTGCAAATTATTCCAGTAAATTCAGTGGGACTGAAGAATGCAAGCATATTTGAAGGATTAAAACCAGACAACAATAATGCTTAGCAACAACAAAACACCTTCCATCCACAGACTATATTTTCTTCCACTGGACAAGCAAGCACAGAATTACGTACACATGCTAAACCAAACAGAGCCTTTAGGAGAATGTAAACTGTTTCTGTTTATAAACAGAAGTAACTGTAATTAACTTTTTCCTTTCTGCCATTATAAGGGAAACAAGTTTCAGATGGTTATTGGTAGGCAAACATGGAGAACATCCATTAAAAAAAATTAAAGCCATATAAATTAATTTTTTGCTTTTAGGAAGAAGAACTTCTTGAATGCCCAAAGATTAGGTAAGCCACCGGTTCCTTCTCAGTGCTTATCAACTCAGTTCTCACTTTTAATCAGCAGAAATTCACTCCCTAGACTTGCTCCTGTTTGATGAGTGTTCCCCTTCCCATGCTTAATCATTCCTAATTTTTAGCTGAACACATCTGCCTACCGATCCTTTTAAAAAAAACCCCAAAAACTCTTTTCTGTGAGAGAACCTAACAGAAGCTGACTTAGAAGTGTCTTCTCTATGAAATACTGATGATATTTTCAGCAAACAAACAAAAAACAAAACGACAACAACAAAACAAACCAGTCTCCAGTGGAAATTTCAGGCTGAGGCAAACACCAATGCATGGAAAATTCCAGCCAAAAAGGTTAAACTCTCATAAAAATCCTAAGCAAAAGAAAGCACTGAGTTATGGCAGAAAGCATTAAGCAATTGTAATGAGAGGTATTGCTACTGTGCTGCTTATAATATAGATGGTATTTTAAAATGTTCTAAGAATATTTGAGAAAAAGACATTAGTCATACAGAGTAAGGAGGTTGCAGGACGAATTACTTAAGAATGAAGGGTGATATAACAACGAGCATTGGTCTAATATTAGAATAGAACAGATTTTAATTAGAAGTCAAGAAAACATACACAGTGATGAGTCAACTGGACAGAGTACATCAACCATGGAAGTGACTGAGGCATCAGAAAATCAGATATTTCATACCAGACTTTATACAGTAAGAGGGCACAAAAGGCAGGAGTTATTTCTACAACTGGTGTGAAAGAAAGAAGCATACAATGTTGCAAAATTTTTCCAGTCCTTCTAAGATACTAACAACGCTTCCTAAGACGTGGATCTTGCCATGTTCTGAGCACAGAGGCTCCAATTCCAAAAGGCACTTTAACTCCTCAACTGTGAACATCCACGTTGTCCCAGTTGATTCATTGCAACTGTTCCTTTTTTCAGCAGGCAAATGTTACATCAAATAAAGGCCAGAGGGTTCAATACCATTTGGAATTAAGGAGTAACAGACATAATTCATGCATCCTGTGTCATTCCAGTGTACAACTTGAATGAAACATACAGTACAGGAATTCAGAGAGCTAGAAAAAAAAAAAGGACAGGTCAGAAGATTAAGAAAAACTTGCCCCTTAAACAAGTAGTACATACAACAGAATGCTACATCATTTGAGATTCTACATGCTCATAGAGATCTAGTTTCCTCCTGCTCTTTGACTGTAAACACAGCAGTCTGCATCAGTATACATACAGCAGCAAATCATCTGAAACACAGGCTCACGTCCCTCACAGAATACGGATGAAGGTATGTGCATATTCAAGTGCTTGAAGCACTACACTAGCAACCCACTATCAGAAAGGCTCCTCTGCATTTTCTTCACGTCATCCTTCTGTCCTTACGCTATCATAAAGCATAGACAGTTGAGAATGGCCTCAAAATTACAAGTTCA